CACTATTAACTGCTCTCTAAACTTCGGCCTGGGAATTCAAAAACATGCTGTTTTGGATTTAATAGTAGTTCTAGTGCGAGAGAGTGAGCTCTGCTATTGAAATGATTAATTTTCCGCATATTTGTTAGTGTAGGATTATTTGGAACATTCAGTCAGTCAACGACAAACGTCTATTGTATAACACTCAATTACTAGCTTCTTTATAATATGCTGCTATTACTGCAAATAGGTAGCAAGTGCAGCTGCGTATTTGCAGACAGGCCTGTTTTCTTCTGGGCGTTTTGTTGTTCTCTTGGCCTCGTCAGCTCTTATCATCACTTGGCTCAACTTAAGGTTAGATGCTTAATCTTTTAGGATTCAGATTGGTATCTCTTCCATTCTGATAAATGTCAATAAATTTATTGTACAAATATTGATCAAAAGATGAAAAAGGAAAAAAGAGTTTTGGAGTTAATTGCTGTAATATGTCAGACTAGAAAAGGAAAAATCAACTCCATTTAGTTAATAGGAAGCATCCCCTCAGGGGTTGGGAGTTGTTGCAGCTAAGGATTTTTGAACATAGAAATGAGGTTCTCTAGTTTTGTAATCTCTGTTCTTTGATCAAAGGATGGAGTGAGGTTGTCAAGTTCATTAAAGTTTTCTCCATCTTTCTTATGTGTTACTTTATCTCTCTTTCCTGTCATTTGGTTGATATGCTCTTTGTTAGCATATCACCAGTTGATCTATTTAATTTGGATATCAGCTGACTGCTTTTCACCCCTTCATTTATATATGTGTAATATGGGCAGCAACGACGTTTATGACTTTGATACAGGGGCAGATAAGAACAAGAAAGAGTCAGTTGTCAATATACTGGGCAGGTAAGATTTCATGTTTAGTGTTTTATTCTTGTTACCCCAGTGACTTTGCTACTTTTTGCTTCTCAATTGAGTCAAATTAAACAAAGTATAATTAACTATTTAAATACTCTTCAAACATGGGAGGCACGTTAGAGTTTGTCTTCTACATTCCTCCAAACAGTTTTGTTCTAAATTGGCTAATTGGAACTGTATTATTTGATGGAAGCCGTACAGGGACCCTTGTTGCTGCAGTTTTATCACTCATTCTGGGTTTTATGGGGCTTAGTTGGGCATCCTTGGAGGCAGGAAATGTGCGCTCAATATTATTACTGGCATCTGCAATCACTTGTGGGTACATATACCAGGTGGTACAATTTGCACAAAATTAGATAATCCCAAAGCACATGCATATCCCTTGCTGCACCAGTTAAACTAGCATCAAATTAAACAATTCATATTGGAATAAACATAAGGTGGATCAAGATGGAGTAGGCTTGTGGGAATTGAAAAGCAAATATGGAAGCTATTGTGCCTGTAAACTGTTTCTACAGAAGCACTACAGATTACAATGGGTCTTCTTGGCTTTAGCTTACTTTTTATGTGATGCATGTGCTTTTATGTTCTCATACCTGCACCCACTTCATCCATGTGGAATTCTTGGTCTCTTTACCATCTTATAGTACTTCTGGAGCACCCTAATCAGGAGAGCTGCAAACCTTATGTTGATACTGCATGACGTTATAATTCATACCCCTTCATGTTCATCTCAGGTTCCCCACCCTCTCTCACCATATTCTTAGTGAGGGACATCTACTAAACAAATTCTAAGCAATAAATCTTGGAGCAATTCTCTTTCTTATAGCCTGTCAACTGTTCTGTGCATGGGAAAGTCCAAAAACTCATGTCCTTCCAAAAACTTTTGTTGCAGTGCCCTCCATTTCGGCTAAGCTACCAGGGACTTGGAGAACCCTTATGCTTTGCAGCATTTGGCCCATTTGCTACAACTGCCTTTTATTTGCTTCAGAGCAGGACATGGTAGTTACTTGTATAGTTTACCTGCAATTACTACATGGAAATTCTTTTGCTTATGCAATTCATTCTGTATAATGATAGTGAGCTACCAATTACCGGCACTGTCCTTTCTGCATCAATTCTTGTTGGTTTAACAACAAGTCTGATCCTCTTCTGTAGCCACTTTCATCAGGTAGTCTCCCTCCCTCTCCTCCCTCCTTTCCCTCCTTCCCTTCCTCTCCATGTACTTTTACTACTAAACTTATGATGAGTATTCCAGGTAAAGGATGATATGGCAGTTGGAAAAATGTCCCCCTTGGTTAGTGCAGTGATAATGATGATTAAAATTTCATTGAAAAGAAAAAGCTGAAGGATCAATTAATCATGCACATCTCACTATGTTATTCCAGGTTAGACTGGGTACCAGAGCAGGCTCTGATGTGGTGAAAATTGCTGTGGTGGTTCTCTATTCATCTTTGCTTGTTCTTGGTCTTTTTGGCGGACTTCCAATCACATGCATTGTGAGTTTTAAGGCGTGTTTTAACTCCTTTTATTATTAGCTTGTAGGCTTGGACAAAGCCAAAATTATTGCTAACAGATCACCTCATGAAGTGGAGAAGCTTACTTTGGAGGGCCATTGACATTAACATTAGTCAAAATTTGTTTTAGTGCACTTCAATTTTGTCTTCACATTGTTGCTTAAAAGATTTTCCTCATATCAATTTTCAAATTTGGTTGCCCTTTTGTTTCAGATTCTTTGTGGACTAACAGTCCCAATTGGGAGATTGGTAATTAGATATGTGGCAGAAAATCACCAGGTGAGTGATGATTTAAGTCTTAAGAATCCACTTTAAATTGGAAAACTATATGTGAGATAGCCACACATGAACTGAATTTGTTGAGTGATAACCTATGGAGGGTTCAATACGTCAGTTTAAGTGAACTACACTGAAATGTACTTCTAGGTAGGATCTCCAAAATTTACTACATAAGCAATGGTGGACATGGTGTGGCAGCTGCCAAGCCAACCCTTACCTTTGCAGTTGATGGATGCCGCATTTTGTTTCCTTAAAAAATGAAAAAGAATTCATTTTTGTGAACCCTCTCCCAACATAGAACCACAGAACCATTTTAGTTCTCTATGATAATACTGGCCCTTCGTTTACTGTCCTTTCTATAATTTCTTGGATATGCTTCTGAAGTTTGATCTAATTCACAACTTTATAGGACAACACAAAAATTTTTATGGCAAAATATTACTGTGTGAGGTTGCATACTGTATTTGGCGCTGCTTTCGCCGCTGGACTTGTGGCAGCTAGAATGGTTGCTGGGAGTGGTATCTTAAAGCGCATTCTGCCTTAGTGTTTTTCACTATTTATCAGGTGAGAATGTGGATTTGAGTCTTGCATAAATGAAATTATCTGGAAATCGTAATTATACCTTTGACTTTGTCTTCTTTTCGTGTCAGAGGGAGAGTCTCGAACAATTTAAAGTCGTCTTTCAGGATGGCTTTTTCCCATAATGGCAGCCCCAAGAACGTACTTCTGCTTTACATTTATGGGAGTTGAAGGCAAAAGATTACACTTCCCATCAATGTGGCCGTCACACTTCTATTTCATTAATCTCCTCTGGCCTTACCAGCTGCACCAAACAGGAGATTAAGTTGAAGACTTCCCTGTGAAATCAACCATGATAATGGTACTGTAGTGGAAAGCTTTTTGTCTCATGGCAAAGAGCTGAAATGGTGGATCAAAGATCAAGAGTTCAGCTGTTGCAGCTTTTTTGCTTGATTAGAGATCTAGCTCTCTGCCATTGGCACAAGAATGGCAACTTAAAGGCGTATCATCGGAGAAAACGCTAATTACGTAATATGTTGTCCTGAAAGAAACTTGTTTTCAGGTGGACTTGTTCCCACCTTCCGGGATCCCAAATGCTAGTACCACGTATCATCAGCTTAATATTTGCAGCTGCGAAGCTTTTTAATGCTTCATTTTGAATTAATTGAGCAGTTCTTTGACTTGAATGCTTGCCTCCCACTTTCATGTTTTCTTTCTTGTTTTCTGCAAACACTGCTAGTCCTAAGACCACGTTAGGCTATTGTAGTTGATCGTAGGCCAGGCCTCAATTTATGAATGAGGAAATGCTGATCGAATAGTTTCCTTCAGCTACCATGCTTGAAGAAAATGTATTCTGTGTCCTCTACATATATCCTTCCTTCAAGCCCCATTTCTAAGATTCAACCAGATAGGGAAAGAATAACCTTACCTTTCACTACGACCTTTCATAATGATTAAAAAATCAATATGACTTTTAAGAATTTTAACCTTTTTTTTTTTATAAATTCAAAAATCAACATAAAGCTCACTACTGTTTTATTGTAAATAATTTAGTTCAGCTTATTTTTTTCGATCACCTACTCAACTTTTGAAACAGGATACATTATTGCCTTAATAAACATGGCAATTTCCCTTTAACGGGAAATCATAAAATAAAGGAAAAAAAGTCTTGCTCCTAAAGCTAGGAGGGCCAGTAGGGACTGAATCACCACCAGATCTAATGTGACAATTAGTGGGATGCAAGGTTTAAATGACTTAGTAACGGCCACCAGCCTTGTGGTTAAAAAAATCAAGAAGCAGAAATATAATCGCAAAAGCTGGTCATAAGGATGCAAATATTGTCTTTTTTTTGTCGAAATAATAGACCTATAATTATGGATGCAAATATTGTCTTTTTTTTGTCGAAATAATAGACCTATAATTATTCTATACTACGATGAGAAAGATATGAAGAGATCAAGAAAAAATCGAAGAAACCGAACCACCTATCGATCCAAGCCACTTAAAGTGGCTTGCGACATTTTGTAGCGAATGGTGGGAGGCGATAACCGAGCTTGTAAGGATGCAAATATTGTCGATGTCTTAAAATGTCAAAAGAAAGTGAGTTTGTTTGGATAAGAGTTTATTTAGATGATTTATTTGAGATATTTACTGTAGCACTTTTTGTGATGTGATGTATGTGAGATAAAAAGGTGATTGGGAAGATAAAAAGATGATTGGGATTTTGGGTAGTCGCAAATTGCAATTTGCGTCCTTCGTCATGGATAACGTCCCACAAAAACTTTTATATATAAACCTGGCACTGCCAAAAGTGGTTGCAATTTTCGTTTGCTGACTGACCTGTGACCAGCCCACCAGTCCACCTAACGTATCCCAGCGTATCCCCATTTCTCATCTTCCCCAATTGTTCTGCTGGTGGGGCAGCCCCAAAACTGAGCTGTGAAGTGAAGGGGCCAACAAAACCAAACCCCTCCCTCCACCCCAATTTCCTATATAATATAATTACGACCCTTCACATTTCCACGTACAAGATTCTAAGAAAGTTAAAATCTCGATTTTATTTTCCAAGTTTGAATGGCAGTTCTCACTTCAATCAGGAAGTCCTTAGGCTTTATCACCAAAAGGGAATCCTTTTCCAAGATCCTTTTGGGAACAGGATGTTTGAGCAATGTTCCAGAGAACACAGTTTATGGAGGGCCAAAGCCGCAGGATCCAAACCAAAGAGTGACACTGACAAATTTACGCCAAAAGCATAAAAAGGGGGAGCCCATAACAATGGTGACAGCCTATGATTATCCGTCTGCAGTGCATCTTGACACTGCTGGCATTGATATTTGCCTTGTGGGTGACTCTGCTTCCATGGTGGTTCATGGCCATGACACCACTTTGCCTATTACTCTTGAAGAAATGCTTGTTCATTGCCGTGCCGTGGCAAGAGGCGCCAAGAATCCACTCCTTGTTGGGGACCTACCTTTTGGTACTTACGAGTCCAGTACTCATCAGGTGATGTGCATGCTTCTCCTTTTGTTGCCCGCAAAAATAGTACCTTCAGTTTTTACCTTTTTCTGGGTAGTTATGCATATTCTCAGTATTGTGATGTTACTATGAAAGCAACTTCAATCCCATTTGTTTTTTATTCTATTATTTGATGGAGGTTTGCATTTTAAAATTTGGTTTTGAGGAAATAGAGGGGTAAAAAAAGGGAAATTGGGAAGGCAGACTTTTGAACAGGAAAAAAATATGGAAGAATACGGATATACTGAGTCGTCTTACACCCGTCCCTGTCAACTGTTGGCTTTTTAAGTGAAACTGTTGCTGAAAGTCCATGTTAGGGTTAATTATTTCATATTATTCTTTGCAAGGCTCTAGCAAATTCATATTATGCAGTTTCTGTCAGAATTAGACGAAATGTGGTTTCTTTCTCTTTTGAATGTGCAATGGTTGGTGATATTGCAGTTTGAATTGTGAGCAGGCAGTTGATACAGCAGTTAGGATACTCAAGGAAGGAGGAATGGATGCAATTAAATTAGAAGCTGGAGCACCATCAAGAATTACTGCAGCTAAAGCTATTGTTGAAGCTGGGATTGCTGTTATGGGGCACGTTGGGCTTACTCCTCAGGCTATTAGCGTTCTGGGAGGATTTAGACCTCAAGGTCGAAATGTTGCTGGTGCTGTAAAGGTAATCTTTTCATAATCCTATCCTTAGCAGGGGATGCTCTCCCAGGGCTTTGTTTGGTTATTTTTGGAACTTTATCTAAAGAGTAATTATGTCTTTCTGCAGGTCGTGGAGACTGCCATAGCATTGCAGGAAGCAGGTTGTTTCGCTGTTGTTCTGGAATGTGTTCCTGCACCTGTAGCTGCTGCAGCAACATCAGCTCTTCAAATCCCCACTATTGGCATTGGTGCAGGTCCATTTTGTAGTGGTCAGGTTTGTTGCTTTTAAGTTCTGTTTCTTCATCCCAGGACTGACAAATATTGTTAAACATATTCCAAAAATAAGTAAATGGTTCCATGAGGTTTTGGTTAGTTACTAAGTCAGTATTGACAATTTTCATTTTCCTTGATGCATTTTGTAAATTGGTTACATATTCTCTTCAAATTGACTGTTATTGGTTGAAATAGAGCTTAGGACAATTTTGATTGAGTAACAAGATAAGCAATATTCTAAACCTTGAAAGCTGTTTAATCAGTCTGACTTGCCATTGAACCTTAACAACTTTGAAGAGCGTCTGAAGAGAAAATGGTCACATTCAACGGTTTGATGAAGTGAATGAACTTTTCCTCCAACTGCTTGATGATATTGTTTAGGTCAACTTTTTTGCCTGCCGTTTGCAGTGATGACAGTTAGTGACATATTGTTAAAAGAGGTGTGGACATCCTGGTGAAGTTCCTCTTTTTTGTTTTTCCTGACTATGTGCTTGGGTAAGATTTCTTTGGAAGATTGTTTGCTCGAGAAAAATGTTTTATGGATTCATTAGGAATTATCATCTATCCGCTTAGAGGATATATTGATTTCTTGGCAAACTTCAGAAATGTATCCTTTTGATGTAGTGAAAATTGAACAAAAGCCAATGCTTTGACTTCGTATGCTTGCATCTGCCAACTTTGCCTTAGTAGTTACTGGCAAAATATGAAAACCTTTCCCACCAAATGTTGATACTTATGATCTTTCTCATTGATTTGCAACGTTTTTCTATTGCACTGTAAATTTTGATGCTATTGGTTAACATTGCAACATGGCCAGCATCGTAAGTTCTCTTCATGTTTTGTTATCCTTAATGATCAAGTTCAGGGCCCTCCTATTTCTTTACTATGAGTCGTTAGGCTGAAATTACTGACAATATTTTATTTCCCACCTTTTATCAATTCACATGGCCAGGTGCTAGTTTACCATGATCTCTTAGGGATGCTACAACACCCACATCATGCTAAGGTTTGGGATTTTATTTCGCTTTTCTGGATCTTCCACTTTTCTCAATCTCCTTGCCTTCATAAAATACCGGATTTGACAACTCATTAGTGCTTGATACGCAATTATTGCAGGTTACTCCAAGGTTCTGCAAACAGTATGCACATGTCGGAGATGTCATCAATAAAGCTCTTTTGGGGTACAAGGAAGAAGTAACAAGTGGTTCTTTTCCAAGCTCTGCCCATAGTCCATATAAAATTTCTGCTGCTGACGTGGATAGCTTTTCAAAAGAGTTAGAGAAACTTGGACTGAGTGATGCAGCATCTGCAGCTAGTGCTGCTGCTGAGAAATTGAAACCACTGAATAATCAGGTGGGAGAACACCAAGCAACTAAATGAGCTGCAGAAGCAGAAGGCTCATGACAAGCTTGCCCCACTTCTTGTTCAAACAGCAAAAGTTTGCACTTGTTTGGCTCTTCATTCTTAATTTTATTGATTCAGTCAGGATTATAAGCATCAAAATAGGATTTTGTTGATTCAGAATGAGTATCAAATAGGGGCATTTTACTTTTGAGTTTTGATGGATTCAGAATAATCCTTTTCCAAGAAAATTTCTTGGTTACAAAACTCACAGCCTTGGATGATTTCTTTTCTGTGATAGAAATTTGAAGATGCTCTTGTGGCAATTGCATTTTAACTGACCTGCAACGTCATTAACAGGGATTTCACAGTTCTTGCCCTGCATTTCTCAATAATACGTCTGGTTTAGAAGCCATTTTAATCAATTTATGAGTGGTTTTTCTTTTTTATGGTATAACTTCCTTGCTGATGGTCCTTAGCTAATGAATTTAGTACTGCTAAACCCCCAAAAAAAATGGAGTTTAGTACAAACTATTTAATCTTACACTCGTGTCAATCTCCCTGGTATTGAACGTTTGTTTCATCTTCCTTTTCCATGAATATTTACTCTGCCTATTAAGTTAGACAAGAAATCCGTTGTTAAATACCATTAGAGTGATTCTTCGTCCGTCTATTGATTTCCTTTTTGCCTTTTTGTTAAAAAAAAAAAAATTCCTACCGTGAGAAGATGTGGAATTCAAGAAATGAAGAGTAGTAAAAGGCAATTTGACCCAAAAATCTCCAAATCCTGAAATTTGAAACTTAACCACTAAATAAAAACTTCTTCAGTCAATTTCCTTTTTGCCTTATTTACTTCATATGCCAATGATTGTGTTACAGCTTACGAATGCATTTTTCATTGTGTTAATGCCCAATCAGGGCCAGAATAATGCCCAATCAGGGCCAGAAAAATGCCGCTATTAAGATCTTAGCAGTCCTGTTTCCGTTGTCTTTGATTTTTATTAAAAAGAGATCTCCCTTTTATTAATGAAGGAAAAAGAACTTGGAAAATGTAGTAAATATTTGTTTAACAGAAACACGTAGTAAAAGCTTGACAGATAATTAGATACCATGACTCGTTTATTCAACATTAGTTACTACCATGAGAAATGAGAAGTCTCAAAAAATAATAAAATACAAAAGGAAAATTTATCAAATTGGTCCCTCACATTTTTTTAAAAAAAAACTTTTTTAGTCTCTTACATTAAAAATCAGCCACAATAGTCTTTCAATATAAAAAAGCCTACTCGATTGGTTCCAAAGCTCATTTTTGCTTACTTTTTCGGCCAAAAAGTACATATCTTTCTTACATGCCTATAATTTCAAGAATAAAAATGAAAACACGCTTCGTTTTCTCTCTTTGTTTGTTGAAAAAAGGAAACTGTAAGCCACCAAATCCTTTTTTCCCCCTTGCTCCCTTTTTAGCTATTAAAACCCTAGTTGTAAGCCATCAAACATCCAATCAAAGAAGAAAATTTCAGTATGGTCACTTACAAGTAGTAAAAGAAGAGCAGAAAAAGACGTCTAAAAAGCTCATCCATTGCAAAGTACAATGGGAACAAACAATGATCAATCTCATTGTGGCAAAGAACCCATGATTGTGATTTCTTGGAAACCTGCAAATCCGAAAGGGAGATTCTATGGCTGCCAAAACTACGAAGTAAGCTCGAGCATATTTCATTTTGGTTATCTTAGAAAAATTGGTTCTTAATATTGAGTGAAAATTAGTTCTTGATATGTGCTGTTCTTGCATTTTAGGTAAATCGTGCTTGTCACTATTTCAAGTGGTATGACTCCCCAGTGTGCAATAGATCAGTGTCAATAATACCTAGCTTATTAAAGGCCATCAATCGGTTGGAAACCGAGCAAGAAAAGATAATTTGAAAAGAAAAAATTACTTTGGGCTACTTTACTTACTTTTTGAATGTGCATTTTGTTGATTGTGTTGAATAAGAATTCAATTAAAGTCCAAAGAAGAAACAAAACATATAACGAGTGTGTTTGGACAGCCAATTATTTGGCCAAATATATTTGCTGACATCACCATTACAATTTCCAATACACCTTTTTATCTTTCCAATTACCTTTTTATCTCACATACATCACATCACAAAAAGTGTTACAGTAAAAATATTTCAAATAACTTACAATCCAAACACACTCAACGTAAAAGCAATGTGATCTTTGTACCTTCATTGTTGGCACCATTGTCAACATGATATTGAAGAATGAAAAAGTTAAAATCTCTCTCGTTCAATCGAAGTTTATATTTAGGATTTTGGTGGCTTATGTATTTCTTAAGAGGAAATGAAGTATGTTTTCATTTTTGTCATTGAAATTATAGGCACGTGAGAAAGGCGTACACCTTTTGGCTAGAGAAGCGAGCGAAAACGAGCTTTAGGATCAATTGGACAAACTTTTTTTATCTGAGGGACTTTTGTGGCTAATTTTAAATATGAGGGACTAAAAAAAAATTTTTTTTTTTTTGAAAATGTGAGGGGCTAATTTGGCAGATTTTCCAATAGAGGGAGAAATGTGCACTGGAAAGCTTTAGAGCTCAAACCCACTTCATATTTTCTTGTAAAGAGCCAACCTTTGGTTGCGATTCACTATCTTGCTTCACCACTTCAGAGTCCAACAACTGAAAAGCACAAAAAGTTTGAGACTTTTTTGACTAGGGAAGAATTTTATAGCAAGAGTTCTGGAAATATAGTGCTCAATCCTCACATTGTGCAAAAAACTTTGATAGATTGCCGTTCGGATGTAGTTGCTTTAAGCTTTTTCTTGTGGTGTGCTCGCCAGCCAGATTATTTCCATGATAGGGCCGCCTTTTCTCATATGGTGAATGTAGTTTCTCGGCTTATTCAAAGATTCTCCACGCTTGGAGGAATCCTTGAGGAATTAGCTCATGTTGGTTGTGCGACAAAACCTCAGACTTTGCTGCTTTTGTTGAGAATTTTCTGGTATGGGAAAATGTATGAGCTAGTTTTCGAGGCTTTTGAGGAAATGCTGCGCCATGGTTACACCCCAAATACTTTTGCTCGCAATATCGTTGTGGATGTGCTGTTTAAGATTGGGAAGGTTGGCGCAGCGCTTAAAGTTTTGGAGGAGACTGAGGTACCAAATTTTTTGTCATTTAGTATTGCCGTATGTAATTTGTGCAAGCTCAATGATTTGATTAACATGCGCAATGTGCTTAGGAACATGTTGAGAAATGGTTATTCTCTTAATCCTGAGACTTTTTTGTCTGTGTTGAATTGTTATTGCAAATTGGGTAGACTGGAAGAGGCATTGCAGCTATTAAGTCTTATGATTACTTTGGGTGTTCCTACCTCTGTGAGTGTGTGGACTGTGTTAATTGATGGATTCTGTAAGCCTGGCCAACTTGATGTTGCGAGTTTTTTACTGGACAAAATGGTTCAGAGTGGATGTTCTCCAAACATTGTGACATGCACTTCTTTAATTAAAGGATTTCTAGAAGCTAAGATGCCTAACAAGGCTTTTAAGATCTTAAGTACCATGGAGTCCAGGGGATGTTATCCTGATTTGTTTCTTTGCAATGTATTAATAGATCGTCTATCTAAGATGGGAAGATATGATGAAGCACTTGATTTCTTCTTTAATCTGCAAAAACAAGGATTAATCCCCGATCCTTACACTATATGTTCTATTTTGTCTGCCATCTGTTCTTCTCAGGAGTTTCTTCTTCTACCTTTATTAATCAGTGGACTGGTCATAGAACCTGACTTAGTGATGTGTAACTCCCTTCTAAATTATTTCTGCAAGGCCGGTCACCCAACTGGCGCCATTGAGTTTTACAATGACATGATACACAGGGGTTTTAAGCCAGATAAATATAGTTATGCTGGATTACTGAGTGGACTTTGCAGGTCAGGTAGGATTCACGAGGCAGTTAATGTGTATAATGGTATTGTTCAAGAACATCTTGGCCTTGATGCTCATCTTCATACCATAATCATTGATGGGCTTATAAAAACTGGCAACTTCCACAGTGCAATCAAATTTTTCAGGAAAGCTGGTCTAGAAAATTTCCCTCTGGATGTTGTGTCCTATACTGTAGCCATCAATGGACTCCTAAAGGGCGGTCGAGCTGGAGAGGCATATAATTTGTTTTTCCAAATGAAGGACCTTGGTATAACTCCTAATATATACACATATAATCTGGTACTCTCTGGTTTCTGCAAGGATAGAGATGTCAAAATGATTAAAGGAATTCTTCAAGAAATGTCTGATGTGGGGGTGGAGATAGACAACGGTACATTAAATTTGATGAAAAGTTTCCTCTACAAATGGCACTGCTACCGTCCAGTATTTGAGCTTTTTGTGGAGTTGTGGGATTCTGGATTGCTGCCAAAGAAAATGTATGCTTTATTGACTGATGAACTTGGTCGTGGTCTTTTAGCTGATGATGCACCTAAAAAGTTCCAGAAGCTGGCATTGTAGGCTCAGATGAATTGTGCGGTTTGGCTGCTTCAGTAGGTTGACATAATGCCTGGGAGAGACTTGGCTTTGTAGTTTTCGCTGACTGCATAATTTCTTCTCCTCAGACAGCTGTGTCATTGTGTCATCCACTACATCTTAGCTCAGACCAGGGTTAAAGATTTTATTGAGATCTTGCAGTCTGAGGCTTGCAGCTGCAGGTCTTCTGAGGTTTCAAGTGAATTTCCAAAACTTTCACCGCTATAAGCTAAGAGGGAGCTGATTATAGGTAAGATTGCACTTTTCCTGTTTATGCATACGAGGTAGGATTACATTTGATAATTTGAATCGGTAACACCTTGTCTGCATGTAGGTAATTTAAAGTCATACATGATTCAGAATCTAATGTGATAAACAATTTAAAGTATTGTTCTTATGTTCTATTGGCATAACAATTAGGCTCATGATTCTTTATGGAAAAGTAGAATGGAGCTGAGTTCACTGGAAGTTTTTCTACTTTGGCTATAAAGGAGCTTCAGTAAAAGTATGTTCATCCATATGATAGAACCGGTTCACCCATTAGACTTGCACAAGATTCAGTCTGATCAACTTGGTTCGTCTAAAAGCTTACAATGGTATGTTACTTTGATTTATGTTTATGTTTGGTTTCGACCCCTTGATTTTGACATACTTTTCAGTATATTGGTTGCTGCCTACAGGTGCAGAGTAATAAAATTTTAAGGTCTGTGCAGAAGCTCTGCGCATTGGCAACAATACTGCAGTTGAACCTTATTGCAAAAATAATGGGAAGAAGACAGAAGATGAACTAATCATTTTACCTTCAATATGTGAATCATTGCGTGTTCGGTAAGTGCATTTACTGACAAACTGCTATTTCCTTTGAAGAGACTACACACACTTACTCTCTCTCTTTCTCTCTATCTCTCTGCTCTTTGTTCAGGGGGTTGCATTGTTATTTAGTCCATAGATCAAGAGATGGGCTTGCACAGTTCATGCAATAATCCAGCGTGACATTGTATTCCAGTTCTGTTGTATGACAATATGATACATTAATTTCTCTGACAGCCCCAAAGCGGCTTGGTTTCAAGATGTAAATACTTTATTGACTTCCCAAGCACATGCAGCAGAAGATGGGATGGTCATCTGAAATCCCATACGGCAGAATAGTTTGATCAAGTGGAGCATTATTGTTCAACTGGATGAACGGTGTCAATCCTGAAATGCGATATTCTGAGCTTGGAACAGATGATGTATGTTGTTGGCTGGCATTCTGTCATGAGAATTCGTGGTCGGCTCTCCGAATTCAGTATGGCGAAAATGATATGTTGGTCCATCTATTTGGAATTCGGCCTTACAACGGAGAGATGCAAATAAATTGATGTTGTTGGTCAATCGAAATACCCATCTAATATTTATCTAGCTTATATGATGTATGTATACATATTATTAATTATTAATTTTTCTTGTATTTATATATATATATATTTTTTAATTTAAATTTACCTATTCTTTCTTTCTTGTATTTACTATAATTCAATCATCTAAATTAGGAAAGACTTTGTTGTAAGGTAAATGTGATATTTTTTTGTTCTTCTGTTTCTTCCCTTGCTGGCCTGCTGCTAATTGACGACATATTCTACTAGTTGATTTATTTTTTGTCCAAGAAAACAATAATCATTAACGAGTAACAGTAGTGTCCTAATATTTAGGTAATTCCTCCAAAGAAAAAGGAATGTATTAATCAAATCGAATACATTTCAACTAAATATTTCTCCATTTAAGCAATGAAAAGAAATTTCTATGCACTACTAGTAGTGTAATCTCCAATTAACGTTACCATTGGCTATTGAAGAAGAAGGGAATGCCCAGAAATAATTTAAATCAAAAATTGCAAGAAAAAACAAAAGGAAAAATACAGTCCTCTTGTTTTCACCTATAAAGCATCATTTCTACCCACCCTTCCGTTTTTACTCCTCTCCTCCTCTTTTTGCTGCAGATCTGATCTCAGAAAAACTCCAATCGTTTCTTTTTCTCCTTTGCCCCAAAAGGAAATAAGAAAATGGCTTCCGCGGCCCCATCGCCCCGTGAGGAGAATGTGTACATGGCTAAGCTCGCCGAGCAGGCCGAACGCTACGAAGAAATGGTGGAATTCATGGAGAAAGTCTCCGCCTCGGTGGGCGAAGGCGACGAGCTCTCTGTGGAGGAGCGCAACCTCTTGTCGGTGGCCTACAAGAACGTGATCGGAGCCCGCCGAGCGTCCTGGCGGATCATATCGTCCATTGAGCAGAAAGAGGAGTCACGAGGCAATGCCGACCATGTGAATGCTATCAAGGACTATAGCGGGAAGATTGAGAAGGAGCTTTCGTCCATTTGTGATGGGATTTTGAAGCTTCTGGATGCTAAGTTGATTCCGGCAGCTGGCGCTGGTGATTCCAAGGTGTTTTATTTGAAGATGAAGGGGGATTATCATAGGTATTTGGCTGAGTTTAAGACTGCTTCTGAGAGGAAAGAGGCTGCTGAGAATACCCTTAATGCCTACAAGGCTGCCCAGGTATCTTTCGTTGAATGTTATTTGCTGCTTGGTTTTTGTGCTTCTTTTGTTAAAGGTATTCTGTGTTTGACGGGATGTTGATTCAATTTTTATTTATGTGTCCCTTTATTTTGTGGATTGATGAATTTGGTTTCTTGATTGTAAAACGTTCAAAGTTTTTATTTTTATTTTTCGTGAATATTCTGATAAAGCATTATATGGGGATTAGTCATCTTTCTGTTTAAGTTATATTTATAGGTGGTTATCCGTGAAGAAGAAAGTTTTTGTTGCGTCAAAGTGGAAATAGATTTTCTGGTCAATTGAGAAGGATGTTTGGATCAATCTTTTATATTATCATGCAAAGGCTGTGACAGAACATGCGCCAGGGTTTTTTTTTTTCCTTTTCCCTTTTCTGTCACAGCCTTTGCTGGCGTTTATCATTGTAAATATTTATTTTTGTTTGGAATTTTGGTCTTAGTTTGGCGGTATGTTAGGATTGAGTCTGGAAGCAATGACAAGGATATACAGATGCGAGCAAATTGTTGCTCCAATCATGATCCAGCCTCTAATTTTGGAGGGTCAAGTTTGAGTAGACTCGCCATTTTTATATATACTTTTCACTGGGGCTGTCACCATCTAATCTAGTAACTCATGATCAATAATCTATGTTGGTATGCTGCTCGGAGTTACAGGTGTTTTAGAGTGCTTTTAATAGCAGTGATCTGCTTTTCTCTGCCTTTACTCTTTTGTTTTTTTTCCTCAGCTTTTAATCGAAAATTCTTTTTTGCAGGATATTGCAATTGCTGAGTTGGCTCCTACACATCCAATCCGACTTGGGTTGGCTCTTAACTTCTCCGTGTTCTATTATGAAATTCTGAGTTCGCCTGATCGAGCATGCAATCTTGCAAAACAGGTGACAGTTGTGTGATTAGATATTTCCTATTTCAATTTAATTGTGGTTATTGTGTGTTAAGCATCTAACAAAGAGCCATCTTTTGGCACCGAATTTACCTTTTCTTTGGGATCATGAGAGGCGTCTTTTCATTGAATTTCACGGAAATGCAGTACATTTTTAGTCTTTTGCAGCACATAGTTTACATTAGTCATATAGCGACAGAGAAACTATGGACTTATTGATTGCTTGTAATTGGGTGCACGCCTGAAGTACAACTGAGCTGGTGGTCTGTTAGAATGCTTTTCTCTTAAAATTTTGATGAACTCATTTGTCTTTGGTGGCATAATGTGTTTAATTTTCATGAATCTCTTGTTCAACAGGCATTTGATGAAGCCATTGCGGAGTTGGACACCCTGGGAGAGGATTCATACAAGGATAGTACTCTCATCATGCAACTTCTCCGTGACAACCTGACCTTGTGGACATCAGACATGCAGGTAATGCTGCTTCCTCTCTTTTCCTGGCAGCTGTTTGATGCCCTTCCATGTCCATCTCTTGCATTGATTCCAGACATGTCCTAAATTTCCGTTTTCTTTTGATGACGCCTGCATTTTTTCACGTCACTAGGATGATGGAGCAGAGGAGATCAAAGAGACATCAAAGCGTGAAGATGAGCAGCAGTGAAATGAATGATTAAAACCACGGAATTTTTAATTTATTTGTTGTGGTTGAAGTAATTTTTTCTGAATGTTTTCTTCACGAGACATCCAGCCATTAATCTTTTAGAGGCACGAGTGAAAATTCTTCTTGAAATGCTCAAGATATTTCAGTCATCATGAATTATGATATCGATTAGATATATGAATTTCAAATGCCTTTGCATCGTAAGCAAAAGGCTTTCTAGCCATTGTTGCCCAGAAGCCTCTATCTGCCCTTACAGGTCCTTCTGAACAAAATCCTTTCGTCATGGATGTTTGCATGCGTGATGAGCTCTTTACCGTGCAAATTGGCAGCATGATATGTCCTCCCCTCGAATGCCAGTTGTGGCGTGGCGTTTCTTTCGCCCATGGCATAGCAATAATAATCAGTTCCTTTTGTATGAATAAACCGTGATTAAGGCGGCATTGGCGAGCGAATTATATCGCGCTTGATTCGATCCCGGATCATCATTAAATCAGATGATTGACGTTTCTCGTCTGTATTAGAAAATTCAAGTATAAAAATCTCAACATGCATATGCGCAATCTAATATGCAATGTTGCCAATGAACACTTGTGTCTTGACACAATGGCAAACTTACCAAAGTCGCTAAGCGGAGCCAAAACCCACGTCATGATTCATGCATGCCCCAGATCATTTTTTCTTATGGTAACACGTACGTAGGGTGCCGTCGAGCCGAGATGCGCTCAAACTCAAAGGGTATAAAGTGCTATTCAAGTTCAAGCTCGAATGACTCAAGGAGCTGATGCTTGAGCTTGACTGAGAAAGTTGCAGAAATAATTGAGTTTAACTCGATAATGTTATCAAATAATGTCGAGTCTTATCAAACTCGAAAACTCAACTCAAACTCGAATATTAAGATCGAACAATGCCGAACTTGTATTAGTAATTTTGTGTGTGTGTAAATTATGATATTTAATATTTATTTTTTAATCATTTAATGCAATGCTCGATAGAGTTCGTCGAACGTGCGATTCTTGAACTCATTCAATAATACTTTCAAGTAGTCCAAATTCGATCAAAATGAATTCCAGTTGAGCTGTTAATCGAGTAGCTCGCGAGTTCAAGTTGAGCTACTCGCAAGCTACTTGGTTCATATCACCTTGAGTAATATGATAGTCAATTTGAGATTAATTGAATTACTATGTCAATTAGTATATAACCATTCATGTATGATAACTATTCTTACACAAACCCAACAGCGTATAACATCATTAGTATATAAAATATTAATCCAATAAAAACGAGTATACAAAACTGATAAATATGTCAATCATTCACATTCTTATAGTTTTCCATAATACATCATGCAGAACAATATTTGACGTGAAAGTCTAAATTTCATGATATTATTGGATGGGAGTGTTTTTCAAATACAATAAAAATTTTTAAAAAGTACTATAAAAGATAATCTAAAAATTAGTTTAAATTTTTTTAAATTTTAAAAAATATCTCAAAATATATTCTAGAAACTCTTTTACTCTTAAATATCCCAAAATATAACCTAAAAATTCTGCTACAACAAAATTTTTCAAAAACACCTCCAAAAACAGTTAATCCAAACGGAGCGTATGTTTTTTACTTTTTCAAATTTTCTGGAATTAATTCAGCACCCATCCACGAATTGCATGTTTTTTCCTTCAAACATTTAGGGTATTGCAGGTAAGTAGTGAGTATCATTTAGTAATTTTAAGGCAGCAATAAAGTGTGTGTAAAATTTTCTTGAAGGTCGAGTAATTTACTAGCTAATCTTATGATAGCCAATATATAAGTGGGAAAAAAAAAAGAAATATAATTGCTGTATCAGAAAGATTAAAAAAAAATAAAAGAAAGAGAGAGGGAGAGAGAAGAGAGAAGTAAGAGAGTGCATGCATTAGGTTGCATGACGGGCTCTTTTTCAAGTCTTTGATTTGATTAGTAGTTGTCGTAGACTCGTAGTGGTATTAGTTTCCACATTTCCCCATTTCCTATGCATTGATTAGTTAGCCTTTCTTTCTTGACGTTAAATCAATCAGCCAAGCCCCAATTTTCCCTCCTTCCCACCTTAATTACGATTAATTACTTTGAACGAATGAATCCAGAACGCAAATGGGCCTACCTAACTAACTAACTGACTTGCTCTACCTGACTTAAACGATAATTCGGTTGAGCGATCAATCCGATCATCATCGTCGTCGTCGTCGTCTAAAATGTGGGTGTTTTACTTGATATCTCTGCCCTTGACCATGGGCATGGTGGCCTTCACTCTCCATTACTTCGCCGGCCCCGATGTTCCTCGCTACG